TGGTTAGCAGATGCAACACAAATTTCTCATTGATGTAGATTTTAGTAGTTAAGACTGCACTATCTTATGGTATATGTTGTGTCTTACCTTAATATTTGCATTTTCAATTGAGATGGAACGATTTATCTATTTTCGGGCCTTAATGGATTACTATGATTTGTTTCTTTCCAGGAACTTGTTGAAAAACTTAGCAAAGGGGAACTCTCAAAGGACGATTATCCATGTATGAATGACCCAAGCCCATCTTTCCATGGAACATCCCATTCTGCATCAGCAACTCAAGCTTCTGGTGCTCATTCAATGAGATCAAGGAGAACACCGACATGGGCTCGGCCTCGGAACTCTGATGATGGGTACTCAAGGTATTGTTTTTGCTCTTCCTTTGTAGATGAATGAGCTCTACTGTGTGCTGTGTCCAGGATATGCATTGCAGTGGGGAATTAACTACAGGACTAACTCAGATAGTAGTTTTTCATGGAGACCTTAATACACTGGCATGTTTATGTGATATGGCAAATCTCTTAGAGGAGATAACAATTGACTCTTAATGGTGTTTCATTGTATTCTTGCATATATTAAACTACTTTTGTTCAATCGCCATTTCCTTTCTAACTAACTTTCATCTCTAATGTTCATATTATCTTATCATGTAGAATTAGAAAATAATCTGTATATTTGATCTATTCCTATTTCCTCTTTGAATTCTCAAACTAAAGGGATTCAAGGTGGGAGTGAAGCTAGCAGAGTGAGATCAAACATACAAATTGTGTATTAATTTACTCATCAATGAGTGGATCTTAATTATTTGATATATATCAAAGTTAGTTATAATTTACATAGTTGATGTATAATTGTATCAATTCCACTCATTTCAATTTCACAAAGAATTGTGACTTTCTTTCTATAAGAAAATTCGTGAATTTGTATATCTGTCAAGGAATTATAAAAATGTCTGACTTGAGATGAATGTAGAATTTACTTAGAGTTCAAATATTATTTGCATTCAATTATTTTCGTTCAATTTTTATTCTATTTGTATTGGATTTGTTTCCCTATTCTATGGAATTAAATTGAACTAAACTTACTGGTGAGAGGAATACAAAATTAAATGTGGGAATTAGGTGGAAATGGAATAGATATTGAATCAAATACAATTTTTGTAATATGAGATTTGTCATTTGCCATAGTGTGATTCATTCATAATGGTACTTACGTTTCCCTGTGTTCAGTGACTCCGTGCTAAGACATGCATCTAGTGATTGCAAGAAGATGGGGCGACGCATATTTGTATTCATTGTTGGTGGAGCTACAAGATCTGAGGTACAAAATACTTTCAATACATGTCTATAAATATTTAAGCTTAGCTGTGTTTGGTTGTACAAAATTGTATCCATTTTTCTATCTTCTATATTCATGTTTTTATACACAGAAATATGGTTTGATGTTGCAAATGAGAAGAAAGTTTGAAAGTTATAGTGTTTAAACTCACGCCATATTTTTCACTAATATTTTTCAATTTTTGTCTTTACTTTTAGTTACCACATATCTGTGTTTAAGCATATTTTAAATCTTGAGAAGAAGATTCAAAATAAATTTATGTAACTACAGATGTTATCTTCTATGGCCTTTTAAATTTTATGAGATGTATTTCATTTACAGCTAAGGGTTTGTTACAAACTTACTACGAAATTGAAGAGGGAAGTTGTTCTAGGCTCATCAAGTCTTGATGACCCCCCTCAGTTTATAACGGTATGGAGTTGTTTAATGGTTCCTTAATTTCCTCAGTACGTGTGCCTAATAAAATAATTTCATGTTCTTTTCTGCTTTACAGAAACTGAAGCTGCTGACTGCACATGAACTCTCATTGGATGATCTCCAGATATGATATAACTAAACTTGACAGAGTGCAAAAATGGGAATTGTGCTTTGATAGTCTCGAATAGATTTGTATACCAACCAAACTATTTCATTCTAATCCATTTTTTAGTAGTGAATGTAAAGCTTGGCGCTTGATAACAGTGGCTGTTGCATATTTGGGGCCATTGCATCTAGTGTCTTAATCGGCATAGGTTTTGGAGTTATGATTTGTGTATTCTAAGCAGTTTGTTCAAATCCAGTGTATAATATGTACTCTATGTAATAGGAAGAACAATCCATTGAACCTTAAGTTCCGAAAGTATCAGCATTCTGATAGCTGGTTTGTTACATTAATGTTTGATGTAATTCGACACATGCATCTTGTCGAGGTTAAAGTAATACCCCGGCTGATTGCAATATTTTTTCTTTCCATTGTGTAAATCACTGCCGTGCCAATTCCCTTACTCAAGTTTTGGCCGTTTCTTTTTCAGAGTAGAATCTGGGAAGTATAATGCCTTGACTTGAATCCAGCCGCAATGGTAGCATGTGGTACAGGAGCTGAAATTTTCAACTGTGAAGTTCCTTTGCTTTTGGGCTGAGCATGTCATCAGCTTTTCTCTTGACTTTTTTTAGCCCTTTCACATAGGCAATGTATCCATCCACGTCAAATTTCCTCTTGCACCCTGCGTAGTTCATGTAGCGTATCTTCCCAAAAACTGGACGCTCTTTCCATCCCTTAAAAGACCAATTCAAAAGAGACTCAATTTCATAATTCCCTGCTCTGATGTAGCATACAATCCAGTGAAGGGCTTCATATTTGAGAACCAGGTGCATATGTTTGTCTAAAGTACCCCTTTTGGCGGACACTAAAGAGAAGGTACTCTTTACTTAACTAAAATGAAAAGATAACAGAACAAAGAACAAAAACCTGGTCGTGGACGCCGCAGATAGACCACATGCAACCAACATATCCACTTGGGTCTCTCCCATCTATCTCATACTGCATGCAGAGTTCTAGATTAGGAACTAGATGGTGCTGGGAATCATCCATAAAAGCACAAGGTAAATCCTAGTTGAATAACCTTGTCATTTAGATAAATGGATATTGAAAGAGCTTCTTCTGGTTCTCTTGTCCACTCGAGAATCTTCTTTGCCCAATACATCCTGCAAATCATTTTCTAAAAATAAGACTTGCAAATGGAAGGAGTAAATAGGTTAGTTTCCAATAAGGAACTCAACAAGGCATTTGGCTTAAAAATGAGCTATTTGATTGGAATAAAATATTGAACTTTGGTTTCACTTTCACCAACAAACCTTGATTACTAATGCCTGAGAAGTACATAAGAAAAGACAAAACAGTGAAAATAACCGTCTCAAGATACAAGTCAGAACCAAAATATCCATGACAAAACCCTTACCTCATGAAACCATGCATCTTCCCACAGTAAACCATTTCCAGCTGCGCAGCATTCCAGAGCTGAAACGAAAATATAATTTTTGAAGGAAAGAATATCCAGAGAACTCATAAACAGAGATCTCAGTAATCATAATGTCATAGAGCCAAGAGGAGCTCCTGAGAATGAATTAGGCAAATAAACTAAAACTTGACCACTTATAAACAGAAGCACAGTTCAGTTTCAGTAGTTCCTTAATGTCTTAGCCATGTATATAATTCTGAAATGATCCAAAAAGAGAAGGAGCTCACAGGATCTGCTGTTTGTGCCTTCTCAAATTGCTCTCTCCTGCAATTTCAACAGTTCAAATTTTGAGAAGCCATAAGATGATTCCCTATGCAGTAAATGACCATAAAAAGAAATGCAACTGACGTGTAGATTTGCTCTCGCTTATCAGAAGCATGGTTCAGCAAGGTTGTCTGAGCCCATCCCCATGCACCTTTCAGTGAATCGTAATGAGGCTGATAGAAGCAAAAGTTATCAGCAAGTTCTCGGCGGACAATCAACTCTTCCAAGAATGTATCAACTGCCTTCAAGGATATAGCAGCAAATCCAAAAAGATTAAGTACTATATCAAAATGAGAAAAGAAAATAACAAACATCAAAGATTTGGGATGAATCAAATTTGATAATTAACTGTGTGATTGTGGGTGGTAATAATGATCCTCATCAAGTAATAGGGTTCTGTCAAGAGCAAGGTAAATTTGCCCCTTGCATTCCAGCAATAAATAAAAGTTAAAATATAAAACAAAACTTGGTCGACACAAACCTGAGGACAAAGTTTGCGGACTCTCTGTGCCTTTAAGGCACATCGTTGTGCTGATATCTGTCCAAAATGCAGGTATGGAGAAAGACCAGAAAGAGCTTTTGGTTTAAGTGGATTATTTCGATCAGCAGAATAATTCTTTAACCTCTTGGTCAAGAAACCATTTTTACCTCCCATTAGTACTTCCCGAGCAGCGTCTTCTCCTGGTTCGCACCATTCAATTTCAGGAACTTCAGCCCCTTTCCTACCCATATAAAGGTAAACATTTCTATAACAAACCCAATAAATCTCAAGTCAATTCTAACTTATCAGATATATCAGCATCTAACCTTAAAACATCATCAATCAGTCCATCCCAATCAATCACCCTATCTTTCAATGCCCATTCTCTATTTGGTGATTGCAGCGTGGGGAAATCAATGAGGTACTCAGGGAGCAGTTTATTTATCTTGCCCCTTATTGTTTTAGCACTGTACTCCAACTTGTCTGAAGCCACCCAAACAGGCACAATATTATGGGCATCAACTTCATGAATGACTACTGAATCAGTCACCTTCTTGCAAATTTGCTCTTTACATCTCCGAATTTCTTGCAGAGGTGAGAAATCAGTAACTAGAAGTGAAGCTCCACATTCTCTGAGGAAATTCGGTATAGTATCTTCAGCTTTTCCCTAAAGGTTTCAATTCTTAAATATATCAATATTTTCATTTTCAACCTTAAATTGGCAGCTAAATGAAAAAAAATAACACGAAAAATATGTTCCTAGAGAAAAAAACAAAAAAAAATATAGCCATTATTAACATAAGTTTTCTGCTAGTAAAAACAAAATTAGAACAAAATTCTCCATTCAACTGCCATTCAAATGATGACTAAGCTTGGTCGGGTAAGTTTTTCATATTATTGTTGCACTTGCATCTAAACACCATTTAGTAATATCAATATTGATATATATAAACCTAGAGGAATAGTATAATGAACCAAGAAACAAATTTACATACAAAGTTTTACCATGAAAGGTTATATCTTTAAAAATATAATTCATTGAAATTCCATTCGAATGGGAAAAAACCGTTTCTCAAACAAAACCAACTTCGAGCCTCTATAAATGATTGATACAAACAATAATCACCTTTCCACATTACCAGTCATTTCAAAGCTAACAGCGAATCAATTACAATATGAACAGAATTAGGCTATCGTTGGACAAAATCAGAAACTTGAAATTCGTTTGTAAATCCAAACTTACACTTCGCATGAAAAAAAATAAAGGAATTTTTGCAATTTAAAACCTATCCCTGCTTCAAATAGAAAAAAAGTAAATTCTAGGATCATGAATTCCAAATTTCATTAATTTTTGCGCCTAACAAAATATTTTCACAATTTTACAGTTGAATTGATTTGGAAACGAATTATATAGAAACTTTACAGTTGTTCCAAATATAATTAGAATGTAAAAATTTTGGCTAGAATGATAAAATTGAACTGATACTAAACCAATGCATTTTAAACTTACATCCTGTCCTAGTGAACTAAGTGCCCTTTCTTAGTTTGGATTTGCAAAACAAGTGCAAAAAAATTATGGGGTTGTCTGAAACATGGCCTAAAAGAAAAATTTCCCTCTTCACAAACCTCACTTTCACTTCATTCCCTAAAAAATTCGTAGAAACCGAGAAAGCAAAAGCAGTAATTTGTCGTCTTGAGATGCATCGCTAAATTCACCTGGAATAAAATGAAAGGAATTTGAAGTGTCTCTGTGATACTGCGATGAAGCTGACGCAAACCCCTTAACATAAACCCTAACTGCCTAGCTTTCGCACCCAAAAACTGATCGAACAGATTAAACGCAATGGCGACGGGCACGTTCGCCTTGTTTGCCTGATCAACAGCGTGTATCAACGCCCAGTTGTCTTTCAACCGTTGATCCCTGAACATCCAGTACACAACGGGTCCCATTGCCTGATCGGACGTTCTCGAGCCTTCTTTGAGGACCCGAAATCTACCCGATTGAATGGAGGCGATTGAAGCCATCAAGGTGAAGAGAAAAGAGAGGGGGAAAAGTATCGGGGGTTTACTGACGTTGAACTACTGGTGACGGAGAATAATGTGAGCCAAGAGTGCGTAGGTTAACAGAAGGACAGCAGAGATAGGAGAGCGCGCGCGAGAGGGAGAGAGGAAAAGAACAGGGGAGAGCAATGGAGGGAAATGGATACAGTTAAACATGTGGCTTTGAAATGACATACGTGGACGACCTCTTTTATTGACACGTGGCAAGAAACATCAACGGTCATCCGCTCGTTCAACTGTTTGGACTTTGATCTGGTAGGCCGCCTCATTCTCCTGGGTGGGGTTTTCCATTTTTCAAATCTATTTAATAAAAATTTGTATTAATTACTTTAATTTAAACATATGTCATACAAGTATTATCACATGAATTGATAGGTTGCATTTAAAATTTTATTCAATTTTAAAGTATTCAATTGTATAAATATATTATTTTTAATTTTAATTTGAATGCTCATCAATCTAATAAATGCATCATTAATTTTGATAACGTGACTATTATACAGTGAAGATGTATCCATAGATATATTCAGTTCTAACAAATAAAAAGTCACACATTTAATTACAATAACTAAAATTATAGATCCACTGATCCCATTTCCTTCTTCTATCCAATGAATCTACTGTTATGATGAGTTTGAGTTTGGTTCATCTATGGTGTTTTTCCTTGATCAAATTATTCACAGAGTCCGATTACCCAATTTACAATTTTCACAAACTGTGCGTGTAGTCTTTTAAGTATATAGATTAGGGTTGACCTCAAAATATACAGGCGTATATCAGATGTAGGAAGCTCTTTGTTTCTTCAGAAATGGGTTTTGGACATTTGTGAATAGGTCCTCCTTTGCTTCAGTTTCCATTTTTAGTTCACTAATACTCCATCGGTATTCTATATATGTTTTTGTGCTCGTAATAATTGGAAGTTTCGGACTCAAAATTTGGAGATTCCTCCATTTGACTTCAAACCCAATACATGAATTGCACAAATCCTCCTATATATATATATATATATATATGTAATCGTAGATTGAGTATGTCTTCAACCTAGTACAGTAGAAATGATATTCCCACAAAATTACTCAACCACTCCAAATACAATACAATACAATACAATGGGACCCTGCACAATTAATATGAATAAGTTAACATTTGGAATCATCCAGTTAAATTCAATGCAAATTTATACAAAATTTATAAATTGATTCTTTACATATACTAAACTCCTTTATGTACTTCTATTTTTTCAAAAACTTTTTCTTTACTTTTTTTAAATTAGAAGAGAAAAGCCACCAGTTTTGGTTGGGAAAGTAAAAGCATGGATTCTCAAATACCAATCTCTCTTTATTCTTATATTAATTTAGTAGTTGCCCCACTCCTCACTCTTGTTTTTATTTGCAATTCTATTCTTTTATTTATCTAAAAATGATTTTGTTTTCCTTCAAAAATAGAAAATAATGTCTTGCTTCCCAATTTTCATTATTACCCAAGTTTGTTCTCTCACATTTTTTCTAAGACCATATGTTATATTTGGTAAAAATATAAAAATGAATATTGCTTCAACATGCTTATATAGCATATAAGAATGGTATGAAATAAACTGTACCACAACAATAATAATAATTAAGATATGTAAAAGTAGGGTGCATCAGGTTCTTATTGTATCTTTTTAGATATCATGCGAGTCAATGACTTACATATCAAATTTTATACTGATAAGAACAGATATTACATATTGAAATATCAAGTTCTAGCATGTCTACCGAGAAAAAAATCGTTGCGCATAATATTTAGCTAATCAAGTCTTTTCCTGACCTCCCGATTTGTAATAACCGGATCTAAAAATTTGGCTTGAGATAATTTTTTAATTAATAAAATTATATATTTAAAATAAATAAATCTTTATTTTAATTTAATTTTATAAAGTTTTTTTAAAAAATAGAATTAGAGACGAAATTGAAAATAATTCTATAAAAGTGGACGAAACTGTGAAAAATGGAGGGTGTTTTTGAAAAAAATTTGAAAATATGGGATAAAATCGCAAAAAAAAAAAAAGTATGACCACGTGGAACGGCCACATCAGCAATCACGGCGAATCAAGACACGCTGCGTGGTTGACACGCCTCGTGACTGACACGCTGACATATGCTCCATGCAGGAGGCCACACGCGCAATCTGCGTGCCTGAGCGATCCAACAGTCGAGATCGCATCTCGCTCGCATGAACGATCCGAATCTATTTCTCCTTCAGACGCAATTAGACATATGAGATTGATCATGATGGACGGCCTTGATTCGCACACGCGATCGGCCTAAATAGGCAATTATCGGACAGTTCTCCTCATTCCATGTTGGCTCGAACGGGTGGCCTGGATCGAAGGGAGATAACCGGAGAAAAAAAAGATGGGTAGCTGGGGAAAGAACCAAACGCTGGAGAAAGAGACTAGCCACAGTTGTCACCGCACCAGAGCCACTGCTGACGCCGAAACAGGTATTTTTTTTTCCTTCCTACTCGAAATTCAATTTTGAATCTCTCCATACCCATATCGGAACCAAAAGGCCAACGGGTGAGCCAAAAAATACAAACGAAGCTCGGCCGAGCTACCGCAGCCAAAACCCAAAGCCCTCTCTGATAACCCCCTTCTCGTTTTTCGTTTTGCATGATTTTTTTACCATCATGTTCTTTGTCCTTTTATGGTGCAGGTTAGCTGAAGAGGAATCTTGGCCGTACAGGAAAAACTGTGAAGCCATCGCACTCGGAGACCCTCCTGCCGATAGGGTTTCAATGTTTGTCTTTTCTAGCCAACAGAGGCCCTCTAACTTGGTTTTTCGCAAGTTTACGCACAAAATCGGCCTAAACCAACCAAAAATAGACAGATCAATGGGAACCACCGCCATGGGCGGTAAAGTCGGCGCCAAAGCACTGTGCCGCCATCATGTCGGAACCCTAAAATTGGTCGAAAAAGTTTTAAAACACCTATTTTAGTCTTTTGGAGTATTTTTGAATACGCGACAGGTATTTTTAATTTTCATAGAAAAAACATAGGAAACAAATGGATCACCAGGAAGCGCAGTGAAAAGTACAGTGTTTCGAACATCGATTCAAAGTAAGAGTCCATCACCCTTTTCTCTGTTACGGTAAATTGAAGCTTAATAATCAATAACATTGTATTTTTTGAAAATTAGAAAAATTCTAAAATTAATTACATGTCATCAGTGAAGCCGAAACTGATCAGTGTACAATTGTCCTACCTTATTTGTATTACCTATTTATTTTCATATATTGCCTAAATTGTTTATTGTTACACCATGTGCTTTAAATTATTACTTTTAACTATTTTCTCGTTTATTGATTGTTTAACCATTATTTTCATTTGTTGATTGGTTGAAAATAAATGTCCTAATTAGGATTCTTAATTGTTAAAATATGAATTTATATTATTTGCTTAAATATCATTCTATTAATCTGTAAATATAAAATGAGATATTGGAATGCAATTGGTTGATAATGTGAATTTATGTATGAAAAGCTTACTGAGTACCCTAGAAAAAAGTGAATTGACTCAGTACATAGAAAAAATCTTACTGTGGACATTATCTCAGTCGAACAAAGCTGAGAAGTCTTATACCGGAAGGAGTTAGGAAAATATAATTTACCCTCATACCAGACGAAATATCGAGGCGATGGTGTGTTTGGTGTCCATTACCGGACGGGGTATGGGGACGACCAGTTAATTAACAAATTGAATATTAGATTCACGCGTAGGGAGACATCCATATGGAGCCCCACAGGTACCGGTAAGTAGCTAAAATATAAAGTTTGACTATTATTGGTCCTTGAAATGCATGATGAATTGTTATATTAATTGTTATCTTCACAAGTCGAACTTGATAACTTAAAAGATGAGTATGAAACTTATGTTTTTAAATTAAATGAATTTATCTGAAACAGAAAAAGACTCCGTTGGTTGTTTTATTATTTTTTTACCACTATTTAGTTTTCTATATCGGTGTGAAGTGTGATGTTCTTACTGGGTTAGTGTACCCCATTTATCTTTTTAACTATTTTAGATTAAGAATATTAAAATTCAGATCTTGAACAGCATGAGAGTTGTGAATAGAGATTACCTCTCGGATCCCATTAGAGTTGCCCAGCGGAGGATAATCTCATAGGATTTCTATTTCGTTTTGTTTTAACCATTTATTCTATTACTATGAACTGGTATAAATGGATATTTTCGTAACCCTATTAAATATTCTAATTTACTGTTTAAGTAAAGTGAACCCTAAATTCTAAATTGTTTCTGTTAATAGTTGTTATAATTCAATATTTCCATTACTTTTAGTTTTGAATCTTTACACGACTCATACTACCAGCATTACTCTCCTGTAGAGCTCATAAGCATCATGAAAGATGACCTCATTGGGGTTCTCTGGTTTAGAATATGTAATCTCTAGCTTTGTTCTTCCCATGTTTATTTGTTTGTTTGCGGTTTTCATTCTGTTTGTATTCAAAAAAATAATAATAATAAGATATGTATTTGAATGTGATGGAAATGAAAATATATGGTAAAGAAATAGATTTAGAAAGAGAAAAATGTGATGAGCAAGGTCAAAACATTGGGTTGATTATTGCAAAGGGATCAAGTTAAGTGTTGAATTTGGAGAAATTACAAATAATGGGAATTAATGTCAAGTGGAAAATGATTATGCTTTTCTATGTCCCGATATATTTGTTGGTAGAGACAAGTGATTGATAGAAGCTTATAAGAGGTGAATCTTGGGGCTCATATATTGAAAAAGGTTATCTATTTTCATATATTATAATGATATTAAAAAACAAACCACAATGAAATAGGGCACATCACCCACATTATAAAGCTTGACCTATATATATATATATATTTATTTATTTATTTATGCAGTCAAACCACCTACATGAAAAAAAAAAAAAAAAAAAAGAAAACGAATTGTGCTGTGCAACAAAATTATCCCAGAAACTTACAATTACAAGGAGATTGCTCATCTGGGTCCTGCAAAATTGAAGTTAATTTTTCCTTCTCAGACCTAAAAATGGTTGATTGACAAGTTTTATCTTTGTTGTTGAAAGCAAAAAATTACTATAT